TTAATTGCGATCGTGTAACTTTTTCTCTAGAGCGAAAATGCGAAAAGTGAAAATTTCTATGTATGTACATACCAAAAAATTTTTACTTTTCACGGTCCCTTAGAGAAGAAGTTACACGATTGTTCTCTAGATAAAAGCTACGTTTGAAGGTTGAAGATTCACTTGGTATTTTATTTTTTGAAATCATATTACACCATAGAACGTGAGAAGGGACTGACGAGGGACTATGTAAAAGCGTAGAGGTGTCAGTATATATGTACATATATCTCGCGACGTATAATATTTAATTTCGCGCTTACGCAGCCAGCGCGCGGAACGTTGCATACAAAGGAGGCCTGTCGTGTTTTTGTTCAAGTTAATTGTTTCTTTTTTTTTTATTGCGATCGAGCGTGCTGCTAACAGTAGCGCACGGCGCATTAGTATTATAGTAGGGGGAAGAAGGAGAGTAGAGACGAATGGATGAGGGATGGAAGGTAATCGTCGATGTATAGGTGAAAGGTATCCTGAAACACAAGCCGGGACTCCTTCGGCGGCGGCGACGCCTATGTTTCTTCTGAAACACCGCTAGGAGATAATAGCGTGCGGGTACAGTCTCCAAAAAGAGTATCACCGATTTGACACGGACGGACTTTCCGAGTAGTATTGCGCAGCACTAGGCCGAGAGTGAGTCTCTGGGTGAAGCAAAATGTAAATAAAGAATATCTCGACGAAAAGAACAAGAATGCGAAATCGGAGCGCATTTCTCTAATTTGCCTGTCACCCACCATCCCCGCTCTCCCCTTTTCTCTCTCTCTCTCCCTTTTCTCTCTACCCCCGTCGCTGTCTTTCATCTCCCCGTCTGACTCGTGATTCATTGAAGCGTCGAAACAACACAACCGCGCGTTTGTGAACGATGACGTGCGTGTCGTCGACGTAAACACCGAAGTGATCTCAATGACGAGGGTATCGATTCTTACAACGGAAACAGGCCGGAAGTTTAGGGTTTCCTTTTTCTTTTCTTTTTTTTTTTAATAACAATCGTGCGATTAAGTTTCTCTACGTGTAATTTTACACACGCGGGAACGGAATCAGCCTATTTACCGCGCGAATACTCGGCGCGAGACGAGAGCAAAATAATGAATTTGATCTTTTGGTTATCGATCTTCGTGCACCGTCGTTAAATTCGGGTGATTACTATAACGCGTGATTACTATAATTCAGGTCAATTTTTCGATCACGAGATAAATAGCGTCATATTTTATGTCAGTACGCGCCAGAAGAAGTATATCTAACTTTTTTCCTCATTTATCGCTGTTGGTGAAAAAGTTGAACGTCAGATTGTGAATTAATCAATGAAACAATAATTTAAGAGAATGTCTCATAATCCTATTTAACGAAAATTGGGGTATATATGACGTCACATAAAGTTTTTTTTTTAAGCTGAACTTCTTGCGTAGTTTATCTTTTTCTTTTCATATTGGAGTAAGAAAGAGAAAAGATGATCGATATGTGCAAAAAATTCACTTAAAAAGAACAGACTTACAGAAACTCAAATAACATTTTCCACCGGGAAAACTAATGCAACACCGATACAATTGAATGCAAATTGATTCACATATTTTTGATATATTAATAAATAATTTAATTCTTTTCAGGCTATGAGGTTATCGTGACAACAAAGAATATGTAGTTAAGAGTCAAATTATTTATTAACAATGAAAATATATAAATCGATTTGCATTCAATTGCACTCAGTATGCACTAGTTTTCTCAGCGTTGCATTAGTTTTCCCAATGGAAAACGCTAAAGATATTTAATGGTTTCCAAATAAGAGCAAGAAAACAAAAATTTTTTAATGTTATTGAAAGTATCAAGGAAAATCCTAAAATCTTGATATATGTATATGTATGTGTATCATACATATACATATAGTATATACAGGGTGTTTCCAAATTAAATGGCAAAACTTCGGGAGCGTGTAGAGGAGTAAAAAACTAAGAAAAAAAGTCCTATAGACATATGCTC